ACAAGAGGAGTCCCTCGTATAGTGCAAACATCTCAAACGATGGTGACAAAAGGCTCTCCATCGAAGGTGTTGAAACCTCCAACACATTCCATGTAATACAAAAGATCGGAAATTTGCAATAAATAAAAATAAACATCAAATATTGTTATATTCTTCAAAAATCAAATCACTGAGGCACGCACGCGCACATGCACACACACATACACACACGCATGTATATGTGTATAATATATAAATGTATTTATATATATATATATACAAATATATATATATATATATATATATATATATATATATATATATATATATATAAACATTCACACAAACACACACATATATATACATATATATATATACATATATATATATATATATATATATATATATATATATATATATGATATATATATATATAATATATATATATATATATATATATATATATATATATATGATATATATATATATAATATATATATATATATATATATATATATATATATATAATATGTATATATATATATATATATATATATATATTTGTATATATGTATATACAACTGTGTGGGGGGGGGGGGATCGATATAGTGTGTATAAATAAATATATATAAAATATATATATATATATATATATATATATATATATATATATATATATTTGAAAAGGTAAGGAGTGAAAGAGAAATGACAATGTCGGAAAACGGCAGTTGGAACCATTATCCTACGTGAGGCGTAGCGACTGCAAGGAGTGAATGAGCATGCGAGTCGAAGTGTGAATGAAGCCCCATGAAGCAGTGACGTATGTAAGGAAGTGCGATTTCAAATAAAATGAAATGCTGAATGGGTAAATTAATAGAAAACGTCTTGTGCATATTTTTTATCCTTTACAAAATATAGTTCCCTCCCCCCCTAAAACATTGTAATTATGATGAAATAAGTGACCTAATAAGAGATGCTGATATTTATGATGTGACTATTGAAAAAGAAATCAAGGAACAGAAAATAAAGGCGTTAGGCGTGAGGCGGAACGAGCGGTTTATTAGGGTTAACTGGGATTACTGTTTATTTCTGATATATCGAGAAATCCGATCGCGGGAACGGGATGGAGGTTGTGCACATCAAAGTAGAAATTGAGGAAATACCGGCGGCGAAATCAAGTAGAGTAGAAAGTAATAATGAGGAAACAATTACGTGGAATAGGACTTTGGACATTCATTTTAGAAGACTTGGCTAGTATTCAGCATAGGCAAGTCAATTCTTCTATTATTCGGAATGATCTAGCACTAGAAGAATATACAGGAAGGGGGGATGTTAAGAGATGGATCAAGAAAGCAAACCAGGCACTGGGATACTGGGAAATGAGGAGGAAAAGTTAGATTTGGGATGAATCACATAGAGGGATCGGCGGCAGGAGAGATTGCATAATTATAAACAGGATATGCATAGCGTAGAAGAAATTATGGAAGAATTGGTGAAGGTATATGGGAGAAGAATAGCTATTTGGGATTATACGAACGAATGGTAGGTAGAAAGCAGGGGAAGCATGGGAATGTCTGGAAATTTTTGAACGTGGGATGAGTGAAAGCCTTAAGCAATGTGGATATGAAATAGATCGTAGAATGATCGGAAAATGTGTGGCGAGGAGTATAAGAGAGCCAGCATTGGGATTGAAGCTTAAGAGGAGGATAGAGCAGAGGCCATATGATTCGTTAGATGAGTAGATAGAGTGGATAGCAATGAAAGAGCATGAATGGAAATCTTTCTCGTAAAGGAAAGATGAAGATGAAATAGACGAAGAAATGGAGAATGATGGAGAGAATTCGAAAGAAAAAAAGAAAGAGAATTTATTGTGGATGCGGTAGAAAGGGTCATATTATTGCGTGGTGCCTAGAAGGGAGTTTCAGAGATAGGTATTACGGAAGGAACTTGCAGACTCAAGGTGACAAAACTACAAGTAACGTTAAGTCAGGGGAGACTCGTAAAGTACTGGCCGATACAGCCACGGAAATCTAGTGAGGCCCAGTGGGAGTACCAACTACCAACCCAAGGGGCCTATCAGTAGCAACGTACAAGAACGTGTCACAAGCGCGGGCAGAAAGCAGGCTATCCAGTGGTAAAATGTATAGAAATGGGACATATAAAAGCAAGCAGCCTATGGGTAACTGTAAATATTGAAGGTGTTGCTGTTGGTTTGTGTGATACCAGTTTCGTTAACTAGTTTATGAATGCAATTTTTGACCATGATGGATAAAGCTGCAACCGGTTAGAATTAGCAGTAGAATTAGATCAGTAGGTGGTGGTTTAGTACCGTGTAGAGGTAGTATAAAAGTTACTATCGACATATGTGGGGCTAAGTTTGATGCAGTATTCTTGGTTTGTGATAGGGTTGGCGAGAGTTATAGTTGTTTGTTAGGTATTGATGTATTGTCAAAGGCGGTAGAGGTATGGCCGGTAATGTACAATCTAAGTAAAGCAAGTGTTAACTGGGAAGAGTGGAAAGACTATATTAGCGATGTGAGGGCACTCCGCAAATTACACGTAAAGGAAGACTGGGGATTTGCATTAACCGGGAAAGCACAAATACCGGTAAAAAGGCAGGTAAAAAGCCAGGTACTGTTTATTGAGCCATTGGCAGAACAACAGGAAGGATGGGTTCTTGAGGGTATGATAACACTGCCTGTTATGGTCCTTATAAAGAGTGGGAAGGGATATACGCTGGTAGCAAATCTATCTAAAATAAATTAAGAAAAAATTGGTAAAGCTGCGAGAGTAGAGAAGATAGAAGAGAGGGAGGTTAAACACTGCAGCGTCAATTTGATAAATGAAAAGTTGCCTGAAGTAAAAATCATTGAAGACCATTTAGCTATAATTCAAAAGGTGTGTATAATGAGGCTTTTGGAAGAATATAATGATGTTTTTGCTATTGGAAAGGGGCCAATAGGAACGGGTACGGGAGATCAAAATACATACCGTTGACAACTGAGCAACCTATAATAATATCATACAGACGAATACCACCGTATCAGGTCCCAGAGATAAAAGAACATATCGAAAAAGTATGCAGACAAGGGGCGAGTGTAAGTCCCTACCTAATTGTTGTAGTTGTTGTTGCGATAACACCTTAAGAATGTGTATAGATTAAAGGAAGCTTAACAAATAAACAATTAGAGTCGCGTTTCCTCTGCCAAGGATTAATGAGACGGTTGAAGCATTGACAGGTGCAAAGTTTTTATTCAACACTTGATTTTGATGCAGAGTATCACCAAATACAAGTCCACCCAAAAGATCACATTAAAACTGTATTTAGCACATCTTTCGGCCATTATGAATAAAAAAGATTGCCATTGGGATTATCGAACAGTCCAAGCACATTTCAGCGTTACATGGAGGGGATTCTGGGACTTTTTGCTATATTACTGATATACTTAGGTTAAGGGATCTGTTTGAAAGAATGCAGAAACATGGCCTTAAACTGAAACCTAAAAAGTGTACGCTCTTTGCATCAAGAGTGACATAATTAGGATACCAGGTTTCGGAAGAGGGCATGACTACAGAGCCAGCGGAAGTAGAAGCAGTTAAGTCGTATATATTTATATATATGTATATATATTGATGTATATATATATATATATATGTATATATATATATATATATATATATATATATATATATATATATATGTTTATATATATATATTTATATATATATATATATACACCTATATGTGTATATGTATGTGTGTGTGTGTGTGTGTGTGTGTGCAAAACCTCACTATCATTACTCATGTATGAGTAAATAGGTTAAGACTATGGAGCTAGTTAGATCCTAGTTGTGACCATAGCTATTCCTCACATTATCTCTATGTCAATACCATACAGAGCAATCAAATGCTTTAAACAAACTTTACACAAGGTCTCCTTTGGCTTGATATTAGGGTGCTCCAATTTGCTGTCTAGCGTACTCTGAAACAACAGTGATGGAATTTTTATTTTTTTTTATTTTTTTATTTTATTTTTTATTTTTTAATCAAATTTACCCTCGAGAACAAATGCTCGACCTCTGCATTTGATACCTGGATGGTAGGAAGATGTTTGAACATGACTTCACCTCTGGCTTTCATCTCCATGAGCTTAACATAATATTCAATGATTGTTATTATCAAAGGTTACAAGTTCCACATTTAGATTACTCTAGTCATCATGTAAGTCTTGAATATTCTAGTGTAAACTCTGGCAACTTGTGAAACTAGAAGTCATAGAGATGACACTTCCACCATGGAGTGTACATTTTAATTGATAAAGGTAGGAAGCCATGGACAATAAATCATTATAAACATCAAACTTTTCCTGATTTGTTGATATAGTGTTATTAGGAACACCTTGCACCTGAACTGGAAGGCAGCAACTACCCGTAGATTATATACATTTGTGTGAAGCGTCTCAGAAACACGATTACCTAAATCAATTTGATGAAGGGTGAAATATATTGCAGAATGTGCAGGATCTATTTTGTACCATAGCTCTAATACGCGGTCGACTGCCTGAAGCAGAGAGAGCCACCGTGTCTGACATGGCTGGAGATGTTGTGGGTTTAACTTTACAGATCGCCTCAAACTTCTGCAATTTATCTTTTCTCTTGGTGCTCTGGGAATATAGTGCTCTCAGTAAATCCTCACAGCTGCGAGGAAGATTCTTTACAGCTTCAGAAGCACAAAGGTGGAGAGAGTGACATCTGAAAATTGCAATTGCAGGGAGGTTGGCTTTTAATCTGCTTGAAACAGAAATGCACTCTCCCATTATCTTTGGAGCTCCATCTGCCACAAAACCAATAAGATTTGGATATATTATGCAACTGCAGTTTCTCTATTTCTATTTTTCCCAGTCGACCCTTTGGAAGATTCTGATTCAAATACATTGACCAGGCAGATAAAATTAGTTTTAAGTGCTTTAGCAATCGAGTCATAAAATTTAACAATTGCTGCACATTAAGACGAAAAACTT